CTGGTTCCATTCCTTTCCTAAATGAAATAGTAACTTCTGGCGTGAACTTGTTGATATTCCGGTGGGGAGGAGGGTTCAGGGGAGGGGGTTGGTATGGGCCAACTTAACAGTTGACCTGGCTGCTCTGAGAGGAGCGCCAGAGGTGGTGTGTGTGTGTGTGTGTTGTGTGTGTGTGTGTGTGTGTGTGTGTGTGTGTGTGTGTGTGTGTGTGTGTGTGTGTGTGTGTGTGTGTGTGTGTGTGTGTGTGTGTGTGTGTGTGTGTGTGTGTGTGTGTGTGTGTGTGTGTGTGTGTGTGTGTGTGTGTGTGTGTGTGTGTGTGTGTGTGTGTGTGTGTGTGTGTGTGTGTGTGTGTGTGTGTGTGTGTGTGTGTGTGTGTGTGTGTGTGTGTGTGTGTGTGTGTGTGTGTGTGTGTGTGTGTGTGTGTGTGTGTGTGTGTGTGTGTGTGTGTGTGTGTGTGTGTGTGTGTGTGTGTGTGTGTGTGTGTGTGTGTGTGTGTGTGTGTGTGTGTGTGTGTGTGTGTGTGTGTGTGTGTGTGTGTGTGTGTGTGTGTGTGTGTGTGTGTGTGTGTGTGTGTGTGTGTGTGTGTGTGTGTGTGTGTGTGTGTGTGTGTGTGTGTGTGTGTGTGTGTGTGTGTGTGTGTGTGTGTGTGTGTGTGTGTGTGTGTGTGTGTGTGTGTGTGTGTGTGTGTGTGTGTGTGTGTGTGTGTGTGTGTGTGTGTGTGTGTGTGTGTGTGTGTGTGTGTGTGTGTGTGTGTGTGTGTGATATATCTTAACCATACAGCATCTGAGGTTAATGATAACACTGAGAATTAGTGAGAATTTTCATAGGAGACCACACACAGCGGTAATTATAGTTCTCAAACACCTGCCAACACTCATAAATAACACCTTAACGTTAATCTACCCTCCCTCCCTCAGGTAACTTTTAGGTGGTTAATCTTCGGTGAAATAAACTGTGGGCTCAACCTTCAGGAGATCCGCCCATGTTTAATGGTCTTTTGGTCGATATTTTATTTAATTTTCACATGTGCGTGAGTGAAAGTCAGGATGTGGCCATGGCGCAGGTGAAGCTGGTAGTGGCCTGGTCAACCCTGCTGCTTGTAACCTATATTGGTGAACACTTCAGAGAGTTTGCACACCTGCACCCACAAGGCAGATATGAGTCACTGGGGCGACTGGCGAGGGCTGCCACCCCCACACCTCAATCACCTCTAAAGTGACAGCTACCTTACAACAACCCCCCTCTTGTATGTGTGTGTGACCCTGACCCTGACCCAGTGTCACCCCAAACACCCCAAACACCCCTGAGGGCAGGACCAAACCAAGGGGAGATTTTGTTCACGGTCAAGGCTACGTGTGTGTGTGTGTGTATGTGTGACCTTGGCTGTGTTGGTAAAGCTTCCTCCCTCTCTTATGATTCTAGTTAGTGACCATCTTCTCTTTAACCTGATTACATCGTTCATATGGCGTGTTATTTTTTTTGCATGGTGTGACTTCCGAGTCTAATGTCTTTACGGCACAGTTGTTGTCTCACCCTCGCCACGGTGTTAGGCTGGCGAGGCGAGGAGGGATGTGAGTGAGGGCTGTGTTTACTCTCCTCATTGTTTTATATTATGATACTGTATAATTGTGATGGTCTACGGGGGTATACACAACAGTACGCTCTCAGAAGGGCAGTATGACTAAACTAATCTTGTGACTCCGGAAACAGTAGTAGAAACAATAATGTGAAAACTTATATTGTCTGACGTGACGAGAAGTACAGAGGAACTGGGGAACTGAGGTGAAAGGTATACAGTGTGTGTGATGAGTGTGGGGTGTGGGCAACACCGTGAACAGTCTGGGGACGGATGCAGGTGTTGTAAAGGTTAGAAGCTGTACAGAAGAGTGTGGCTGACCTCTGCTGTACTTGTAATAATGATAGTACCGATAATAAGCCTGGAAGTTGGGATGCATTCATTATTGTGTTGGAAATACGGGGATCATAAGAAAGTTCTTTGTATTATATTGCTCGTAAAAGTGTATTATAAATTAGAAGTTTGTTAAGCATTTAAATATATGAGAGAATCGCTAACTCACCAACCAGCTTTTGAGTGTCAAGAAGGATTACTCCTTTACCTTTCTTATGTGCGAAGTTTTATCATGTGTCCGTGCTGAGGCGGCGGCAGTAGAGGCTATGTAATCCAGGCGTGAGTTTGTGCACCATGCTGGGTTGTAGTATAGTTACTCTGCCGTAATGGTAATTTGATAAGAGTAATTTGTACTGGGGTGTGACACAGGCAGACAGAGCCACACGTGTGTTTACATATTTTTTGTTCAGTGATGGAACATGCTGACACACTGTATCTGTTTCTAAAGGTTGTACAGTATTGAGAGACTGGACGTAAGTAGACGAGGTTTGTAGAATTTGACTCTTACTGACTAACACTCCTGATCATTAAAGTGAGTCATGAGGTGTGTACCGTGGTCATGACCCGGTGAGGGGGGCCAACACCTGGCCCACGATGGCTCATTATTCCCACTAGTTACTATCTGACAGAGGCCGCGGCCTTCTCTATTAGCCATGGCCGCTGTTCTACCGTTTAACATAAAGTATTTTCCATTGTCAAGATAAGAAATAATCACGAAATAGAAGAGGTACAAGATTTTCTCTTCCGGCCCCATTTGATATCTTTTTCTTCAACTTTCATTTTGTTTTTAATAGTAAGTTGCGCCTCTTGGAGCGTCTGACTGCTGCCAGGTAATGAGTGGTGGCAGGTGTCAGGTCCGGGCATGTTGTTAGGGGAGACAAATCTTATTTACTGTGATGCTGAGCAACACCTTGGCTGTTGTGTGACCACACCCTCCTGCGAACACACCTCCTGTACGAACACACACCCTCCTGTACGAACACACCCTCCTGTACGAACACACCCTCCTGTACACTGATAAATAAATAATTTTATATACAGCAGAAAGTGTTGTTGTTATGTTTAGAAGTGTGTTAATGGACTGGTTTACAGGGCGGAATTTGTTAATTAATTTGGTGTATTGAGTGTAGCCTGTGAGCTGTCTTGTACTCACTCCTTCAGGTAACACTCCTTCAGAACTTTAACAAGGAGTTCATTGTGTTAGGGAGAGATGGGTCAGAGGTCAGTGTCACGCTCAACATAAACTACTTATTTTCTCCATTGTCTTGAGAATTCACCCACTTGTTGTTCATGACCAAAGTGTTGCTCTTAAGGCTTTGTCTGTGTCTTTATGTTATATAAGTGGTACACTAGTGTCAGTTAATGGTAGATCTATACATAACATACTAATGGCAGAACTATACATAATACACTAATGGCAGAACTATACATAATACACTAATGGCAGAACTATACATAATACATTAATGGCAGAACTAATACATAATAAACAAAATACATTAATGGCAGAACTATACATAATACACTAATGCAGAACTATACATAATACATAATGGCAGAACTATACATAATACATTAATGGCAGAACTACATAATACATTAATGGCAGAACTATACTAATACACTAATGGCAGAACTATACATAATACACTAATGGCAGAACTATACATAATACATTAATGGCAGAACTATACATAATACATTAATGGCAGAACTATACATAATACCACTAATGGCAGAACTATACAAAATACATTAATGGCAGAACTATACATAATACATTAATGGCAGAACTATACATAATACATTAATGGCAGAACTATACATAATACACTAATGGCAGAACTATATAATACTAATGGCGAAACTATACATAATACATTAATGGCAGAACTATACATAATACATTAATGGCAGAACTATACATAATACACTAATGGCAGAACTATGCATAATACACTAATGGCAGAACTATACATAATACATATGGCAGAACTATACACTAATACATTAATGGCAGAACTATACATAATACATATAATGAACTATACATAATACACTAATGGCAGAACTATACATAATACACTAATGGCAGAACTATACATAATACACTAATGGCAGAACTATACATAATACATTAATGGCAGAACTATACATAATACATTAATGGCAGAACTATACATATACACTAATGGCAGAACTATACATAATACACACTAATGCAGAACTATACATAATACATTAATGGCAGAACTATACATAATACATTAATGGCAGAACTATACATAATACACTAATGGCAGAACTATACATAATACATAATGGCAGAACCATACATAATACAACTAATGGCAGAACTATACATAATACATTAATGGCAGAACTATACATAATACACTAATGGCAGAACTATACATAATACATTAATGGCAGAACTATACATAATACATTAATGGCAGAACTATACATAATACACTTATGGCAGAACTATATAATACACCAATGGCAAGAACTACATAAATACAACTAATGGCAGAACCATACACAATACATTAATAGGCAGAACTATACATAATACATTAATGGCAGAACTATACATACACTAATGCAGAACTATACATAATACACTAATGGCAGAACTATACATAATACATAGGCAGAACTATACATAATACATTAATGGCAGAACTATACATAATACACTTATGGCAGAACTATACATAATACACTAATGGCAGAACTATACATAATACATTAATGGCAGAACCATACATAATACATTAATGGCAGAACTATACATACATTTATGGCAGAACCACAGTATACATGTCACAAGCCTTTTGTTGTATTATATTACGTATTGTTGTCGTCGAAGAAATCTGTGTATTGAGTGGATGAACGAGAATCATATCATAAATATTGACGTTGTGATCAATGTTGTGTGGCTTTGGGATCGAGATTAGTGACAGAGAAGCAGTGATTTGTTTCCTAGGTGTGATGACAAACATTAATCGAACGACTATAATAATAATAATAATAATAATAATAATAATAATAATAATAATACAGTAATAATAATAATAATAATCCTTTAATCCTTCATCATCGTGTTGACTAGCTCATTACCCACAGTACAATGGCTAGAGATGAACCTGATGTCAATTCACATATATACTGTAGTAGAAGCTCAGATTAACTATTTGTGTAAGCTCATGTACTCTAGTTCAGCAATTGGTAGCACTGTACACAGACTTAAAGTAGTTAGAGGTTGAAGAAAAGTGAGCCCAACACTGGTGGTCGTAGAGCTTACCACTACCCACCCACCCACCACTGCCAGTGTCGTAACCCCACCACAACCCACCACTGGTACAGGGTCAACCTCTTATATAGATACAATATACAGTACTCTATATATCTCATTCGAAAACAGCATCATGAATACAGTATTTGTCCCACCTGATAACATACCTTGTTGTCCTGTTGCTGGGGGACACTGGCGTGCCTACTGTTGTCCTTGCTGGGGGAACTTTGGTGGTCTTGTCCTGTTGCTGGGGACTGGTGGTCTTACTGTTGTCCTGTTGCTGGGGGAACACTGTGGTCTTACTGTTGTCCTGTTGCTGGGGGACACTGGTGGTCTTACTGTCCTGTTGCTGGGGGACACTGGGGTCTTACTGTTGTCCTGTTGCTGGGGAACACTGTGGTCCTACTGTTGTCCTGTTGCTGGGGGAACACTGGTGGTCTTACTGTTGTCCTGTTGCTGGGGGACACTGGTGGTCTTACTGTTGTCCTGTTGCTGGGGGGACACTGGTGGTCTTACTGTTGTCCTGTTGCTGGGGGAACACTGGTGGTCTTACTGTTGTCCTGTTGCTGGGGAACACTGGTGGTCTTACTGTTTCTGTTGCTGGGGAACACTGGTGGTCTTACTGTTGTCCTGTTGCTGGGGACACTGGTGGTCTTACTGTTGTCCTGTTGCTACCAGTGGCTTGTCCTGTTGCTGGGGATCACTGGTGGTCTTACTGTTGTCCTGTTGCTGGGGGAACACTGGTGGTCTTACTGTTGCCTGTTGCTGGGGAACTCTGGTGGTCTTACTGTTGTCCTGTTGCTGGGGGAACTTTTGGTGGTCTTGTCCTGTGCTGGGGGACACTGGTATTCCACGTGTCCTTTGCTGGGGGAACTTGGTGGTCTTGTCCTGTTGCTGGGGGAAACTGGTGGTCTACTATTGTCCTGTTGCTGGAACACTGGTGGTCTTACTGTTGTCCTGTTGCTGGGGGAACTCTGGTGGTCTTACTGTTGTCCTGTTGCTGGGGGAACTTTGGTGGTCTTGTCCTGCTGGGGGGCACACTGGTGGTCTACTGTTGTCTCTTGCTGGGGAACTTTGTCTCTTGTCCTGTTGCTGGGGGAACACTGGAATGCACGTGTCCTGTTGTTGGGGGGAACCCTGGTGGTCTTACTGTTGTCCCTGGGGGAACTTTGGTCTTGTCCTGTTGCTGAACACTGGTGGTCTTACTGTTGTCCTGTTGGGGGGGACACTGGTGGTCTTACTGTTGTCCCTTTGCTGGGGGAACTTTGGTGTCTGTCCTGGTTAAAACACTGGTGGTCTTACTGTTGTCCTGTTGCTGGGGGACACTGGTGGTCTTACTGTTGTCCTGTTGCTGGGGAACACTGGTGGTCTTACTGTTGTCCTGTTGCTGGGGGAACACTGGTGGTCTTACTGTTGTCCTGTTGCTGGGGAACACTGGTGGTCTTACTGTTGTCCTGTCTGGGGGAAACACTGGTGGTCTTACTGTTGTCCTTTGCTGGGGAACTTTGGTGGTCTTGTCCTGTTGCTGGGGGAACTTTGGTGGTCTTGTCCTGTTGCTGGGGGGACACTAGTGGTCTTACTGTTGTCTGTTGTTGGGGGACACTGGTGGTCTTACTGTTGTCCTGTTGCTGGGGGACACTGGTGGCTTACTGTTCTCCTGTTGCTGGGGAACACTGGTGGTCTTACTGTTGTCCTGTTGCTGGGGATCACTGGTGGTCTATTGTTGTCCTGTTGCTGGGGGAACACTGGTGGTCTTACTGTTGTCCTGTTGCTGGGGATCACTGGTGGTCTTACTGTTGTCCTGTTGCTGAACCTGGGTCTTACTGTTGTCCTGTTGCTGGGGATCACTGGTGGTCTTACTGTTGTCCTGTTGCTGGGGGAACACTGGTGGTCTTACTGTTGTCCTGTTGCTGGGGTACACTGGTGATCTTACTGTTGTCCTGTTGCTGGGGGACACTGGTGGTCTTACATTGTCCTGTTGTTGGGGGGCACTGGTGGTCTTACTGTTGTCCTGTTGCTGGGTTAAATAGGGGAGTCCTACAGTGGTGTCCTTTCATTGTAGGAGCGTTTCAGGACAGTGTATTGGGGTGTCGCCAGCCAGTGTGTATTGGGGGGGGACCTCGCTCAGTGGTGGTGTGTGGAGACCAGGAGCTGTAGATGAAGGTTGGGGCAGAGGTAGTGGTGTGTGTTGGTGAGTGTAGTGGTGTGTTGGTGAGTGTGGTGTGTGTTGAGAGTGTAGGGTGGGGTGAGAGTGTAGTGGTGTAAGCAGAGTGTAGTGGTGTGTGGAGCAGGAGTGTAGTGGTGTGTGTTGGTGAGTGTAGTGGTGTGTGTTGGTGAGTAGTAGGGTGTGTTGGTGAGTGTAGTGGTGTGTTGTGAGGGGTAGGGAGGCAGGTGTGTGTTGGTGAGTGTAGTGGTGTGTGTTGGTGAGTGTAGTGGTGTGTTAGAGAGGTAGTGGTGTGGGTGGAGGTAGTGTGTGTTGGTGAGTTGAGGGTAGGTTAGGGGTGCAGCAACACAAACAGGGAGGTACTACTGCCTGGGAAGATATTGGAAGCATAATGTGTTGTCTACAGACCCTGCTATATGGCATCACGAAAATTGTGACCAGTCCCAGGTTGATCTGACTTTCTGCCTCATTTACACACAATTGCAGGGTCTCAATTGTTTCACTTATTATTGACAACACAACATACATACAGTACAGTATATTGCTTCAATTTTGATCTTATTCATTTTTGTATTATTATTATTATTATTATTATTATTATTATTATTTTTAATATTATTATTATTTTATTATTATTATTATTTTTTTTATTTACTATTATTATTATTATTATTATTATTTTTATTATTATATTTTTATATACATAAATATTATTATTATTATTTTTATATATATTATTATTATTATTATTTTATATATATTATTATTATTATTATTATTATTATTATTATTTATTATTTTATTTTTACTTTTAATATATTATTATTATTATTATTATTATTATTTATTATTATTATTAATATTATTATTATTATAATACATTTTCGCCCCCAGGCCCTGATGTGGGTCAGTGACCTGTGCCCGGTGGGCTAACTCCCAAAAAAAATATATATATATATTGTTGTGTGTTGGTGAGTGTATTGGTGTGTTGGTGATGAATTGCGTGTATTGTGTGTTGGGAGTTGTGTTGTTGGGAGTGTAATGGTGTGTTGTGAGTGGTGGTGGTTGTGAGAACCGTGCAATGTCATGTCACACACGGTGCAGGGTATGCGCCTCCCCACACATTGCCACGCTCCACCACCGGACCATCATTATCCAGCTGATTTACCGGAGCGGCCCAGCCCTTGCGGCAGCACATGCTCTGTTTGCCGTCACACACCACTCGCGGACAGACAAGCTATATGATTGATGGAAGTCTTTGTTAAATTCTCCTTATATTGAGTCCAGAACCAAGATGTGTACAGTATTGTTAGTACTGGGGAGATGAGGCGTCATTATTATACCCCCGCCAGCCACTATAGATGTTTCGTGCTGCTAGTTATCAAAGCTCTGTCCTGAGACTGTCAAGATAGGCGTGCAGAGAATTTATTTCTTGGACTGTTAATGCTAATGGTGTGATATACTTCTGGTGGTGTTCCACTTAAATCCTTTTTCCTTTCTCCCCTGCTATCACAAAAGCACTTGTGATGCAAAGTTTACAGTTACAATCAGTTGTTTTGTGTGTGTGTGTGTGTGTGTGTGTGTGTGTGTGTGTGTGTGTGTGTGTGTGTGTGTGATGGAGGAAGCGACACAAAGGGCTAACTGTCTTGTATCGCCCTCGCCTCCACCCCCACACAAGGGTAACCGAGGTGGAAAGACCTTCGGTTTAATGTAGAATCCGGGTGTGGCTAATGAACGTAAGAAATACAGGGTGGTGTTTAAATGTTAGTCATGACCAGATGGTGTTATTTCCTAATGTATGTATTCAGGTCAATATCAAATATACTTAAATATAACTACATTTATATACGATGTAAAGCAGTTCCATGACAGAGTAAATAGCGTTGGTGGCTTAACCTAATACATGTGACAAGAAACGCTTCTACCATTTTTATATTGTGTATATTATTGTTGGGTGGCGGTGGTGGGCCAGCCAGGTCGTCATGTAGGAGAGTTAGCAACACTCTGGCTAACAACTATCACTCACAGTCGTTGACTTTCATATTCAAGACGTTTACTGGACTCCTCCAGAGAACCTGTTTAGTCTCACTTTCTCCAGTTTTTCAGCTTTATCTGATGATGCCAGAAAGTCAGACTACTGGCTGTGCGAAATTTGACTGTAAGTGATGTTTATATCTGACTATGATGTTTACTACAAATTATATTTGAGCAAGCGACGTTAGAAAGTTTGACTATAGAAGCTGAGGCTTCATGGTGTATGACATGTTCTGTCGACCGTGTCACGTGCTGTGGTGGTGACAGAGTCGAATAAGACTGACTGGAGGTGGTGGTGAGTGACTGACTGGAGGTGTTGGTAGTGACTGACTGGAGGTGGTGGTAGTGACTGACTGGAGGTGGTGGTAGTGACTGACTGAAGTGTTGGTAGTGACTGACTGGAGGTGGTGGTAGTGACTGACTGGAGGTGGTGGTAGTGACTGACTGAAGGTGTTGGTAGTGACTGACTGGAGGTGGTGGTAGTGACTGACTGAAGGTGTTGGTGATGATAAACAGTAAATTATTTAGTATCAACAACATAATTGTTCTCATCACAATTAAGATTTAATAATAAACATTGCTCTTCTCTGTTGACATTAAGGCGTATATTCATCATAAACTATTATACGTGTTGTTTATGATAGAGGTCATTTCTTTTTTATGGGTGAAAGGAACGTGATTGTGGTTCGCCCTCACCACCAGTGCTCTGTTATTGGTGTGCTGGTCACCCCTTCCCTCCACTGGTTGGTGGCGTTTGTGATTGCTCAAGATGTACCATGGTCCAAGACAATATGGAAGCCAGTATTTTGTCTCTTGTTTCACTGATGGCTTGTTGAGCACGTACAGGTATGTGTTTACTTATGGTCTTGATTAAATTATATTTATTGGTTTATTTTTTCAATGAGTGTGTGGACTAGATTGTGGAGAAGGTTGTGATTACACCTTGTGGTTGGTAGGTAGGTAGAGGATGTGGGTACTGGAGGGACGAGAGAGAGAGAGAGAGAGAGAGAGAGAGAGAGAGAAGAGAGAGAGAGAGAGAGAGAGAGAGAGAGACTTTGCCTCG